GGTCGTCGCCGCCAGAGTCCTGTTTTCGCGCACAGACGGTCTAGATCGCGGCTCGAGCATTAATCAAACGGCCACCGCCGCCGCCATCGCCATGTACATACCTATATTATTATATACACGTGGTATGCGCTACCGAAAGCGCGTCCTCCATTGTATCCTCTGCCAAACGGTCGGAAAAGTCTTCGACTCTTCCGAAACGGCCACCGCCGCCTCCCCGCGGGTGAACGGACAAACCGCTTTTACTCCCGCCGCCGTCTGGCGGACTTCTGCTATACGGCTATGTTATACACTACCACCGTTACTACTACCGCGGTATTAATCTCGTCGTAAACGCCGATTTAATCAGCCGGCAATCGGATTTACTGCAACCCAAAGCAGCGTATACGGACGCGGGTGAACGCGAAATGTGCGTCCCCGAAGAGTTTTGGCCCGCCGTCCGCGGTCCACGCCCAAGGCCGCCCTGGATAATCGGAGGACTTCGATATTCCGCGGGTAAACCGAAAAGTCCGTTTGGCACTGCCGGCCTACGCGTGCTTATATATATATATATATATATATAATACACCCGTCAATAATAATACTGTTGTTATTTACCACTCCCGCTGTGCGGGGCTGTCGTACGAGGGTGAAAAGCGGTCGAAAAGTCAAACTCCTCTCTCCCGCGCGACCGCACCACAAGAAAAATAAAACGCGAAACGCCGCCGGAAATGCGGAGACGATTCTCTCCCTCTATACGATGCGCGCAGTATTATGGCCGACAGAAAACAAAAAATGTGTGTAGTAAACTATACACGCGTAGGTACTCGAGGACCAGTAAGTCGTCCAACAAAACTGCAGCAAACGAAAGTTTGACACAGCTGTGTATTGGCTTGTGTGCGTTATTGTTTTTATAGATATGTCATGACCGCTAACTCGATAATACGATTTTCACAACCCGAGGAGTTGCTATAAACGGACGGAAACATTTGACTCTTGCAAAACAACCCACAGCCTCCGAGCGCTGCGGTATCACAGGGCGAATTGTTCGACCATTTGTCCTCCAACCATCGTCTGGAGGACTACTACTACTACTACTACTACTACTACTACTACTACTACTAATACTCGCAGTAAAAATTACAGTCAACGCCGTCGATTTGATCAGCCGAAAAAAATTAGTACGCGGGCGGCCTTATTGTGACCGAATTTCAAAAGTGGACGTCGCCGAAGAGGGCTGCACCATACATATTGCATTCGAGCTGTTTGTCCTCCGCGATACGCGCCCGCAGGATAATCGGAGGACTCGCGGGTTCCGGGTAAACCGAAAAGTTTGTTTGGCACTATATGCGCCACTCGAATAATTTATATAATGCGCTCGTCGATAATAATACTGTTGTTATTCACTATACCCCCGCTGCGCGGGGTGGTTGTCGTTCGAGGGCAAAAAGCGGTCGAAAAGTCAATCGTCTTCTCGCACCACCATCCCGCAAGACGAATAAAACGCGAAACGTTGCCGGAAATCCTAGGTCAATTCTCTAAAACGACAAAACGCACAATATATTGCGCAAGGAAAAAACGTATTTATTGTAGACCTCATATATGCGTATAGTCCGGATAATCCGTCCGATAAATGTCGGTAAAACTGCAGCAAAAGTACGTTTGGCACAATTATTGTGCAGTAAGAACTGCGTAGTGCGTTTGTTTGGATAAAATTATTTTATTTTTCACTCACTGGCATAAATTCGAAATCTTTATACATTCTCAATATTTTATACGTGTACCGCGGTGTCGGTACGTTGATTTATTTTAATAATTTTTTACAATAAAATAATCCCGATTTCGCGTAAGACGACTATATTTTGTTTGGCGGTCATTTTCTATTACAATATTATTCACAGCTGCGCAGACGGTGTGATCGAATTATAACATGTGGGCCTAATGTCATAATATTGTATTGTTCACCTGATGACAGTAATATTATTACAACGATCGTGACAATATTAAAATCGATTAAATTTGTATTCATTTATTATTTGTTTTAAATTTCTAGAGACGATTTGATATTGTTGTTTAATTATAATTATTATTACTACTGTTAGAATCGCCAGTTGGTTGTTATACAATCCGCAGATGATGTTGCCGAAAACGCGGCGGACGGTGAACATTTGAATTGAACATGTGTTTGTTTCGTCGCATTTGAATGTTCGCGTGGCAATTTCACGTTTCATATATAAACATTAACAGCTTTACCCTTGTCATGTTAAATAACGTAATGTGGTGGATATTCCGAATACTTGTTAAATTGTTCGAAACATCATATTATATTGCTTTCCGTGTAATTTATTATTTGTTCGGTAAATTATTCGAAAATGACGCTTTCCATTTTATAATAATTTCTAATTATCTGCATACATTAAACGCATTTGTTCAACTTGAAATCAGCGTGTAATACCAGTATAATATGTTACATACCTAGGTAGGTGCCATACTACATTTCGTTTGAATTATTATTTATTGTACAATACTACAATATTGTAATCAAAGCACTTATATATCACACTATATTTTGATATTAAATGCGATACCAAATATATTTCGACTAATAAAATAACTATCGACACGCACAAGAACATAATATTTTATAACATTCAAATAATTTAATACACTTGTATATTTTAAAACCACACCATCTTGGTTTATGTGAGTAAAACAATATGAAAAAAATGCATTCGATGCCATATTGTAAAAAGTAAAACAAAATCTTTTTAACAACTTTTGTAGAATTTCTAGACCCAATGGTAGAATTAAAGTTCTTTTATTCTATATACCTCCGCAAAACGCAGAAATGCTTTTATCCAGTATCCGAACAGCTACAGATTTATTTCTCATGACAAAAGTGTGGCAATGATAATAATCAAACAGTTCACATGTTATAATGGTCTTATGTATTATATTATGATACACTGTAATACTCTCTTATAAATATAATGAGTTTATCATTTTTTTAATAATATATATATCCACACAATTGTTTGAGTTATTTGTTATTTTATGGCATCACGAATTTCAATTTTAGTTTAATTTTGTCATGTCGTATTTACACAAAACACACATTTTATTAAAAATTATTTAAAAATGGCACATGATGAACATTTCTCCTAGTATCTACGCATCGATTCCACTAATAAGTAAATACTATTATGTATATATCAAAGGATGTTTGATTAATTTGTTTCAAATAAGTATTTACCCTTTACCCTCAATACTATAAAACACTGAATACACGCATTCACCCCAATCAAACAACTTGAAATCCCTTTATCGGAGAGTAGAAGCAAACCAAATTTCCTGTTTGACTTGTGTGTTGTGCTAGAAATTGTTTTTTAATTCAACGATTTTATAAAATAATTAATTTATTGATTGATGCGGGTTATTCGACGAAGTCATCTAGCCACAGGGAGTGCATAATAATATGAAAGACATTAAATAAATCGATATAGATGGAAAAAAATTAATTTTTTTTTTTATGTCTGTACCTAAATATTAAGTTAAAAATAAAATTATAATTCACATTTAAACCCTAATTGTTTACAGTTTATTCTATAGGCGGTAGGTACTACGGGTTTTTTTTTTATCCGTGATATAACTTTATACATTGCAGTCGATCGGAAGTGTAGCACAATAGTGCGTCATTTATTTGCATATTTCTTTGTAATAAAAACATTTTGTTTCGTCTCATTTCAGCTGTCCCGTTAATCGCCCAAAGGCCTGCAGACACACACGTATCGGCCGGCAGCAATGCGGTATTCGAGTGCGGTGTCCGGGGTAATCCCAGACCGACGATTTTCTGGTCCTTACAGGACAACGACACCGTGCTATTCCCCGAGGAGAGCTGGAACGAATTTCACGCCGAAGACACTAAAGATTCCGTTTCCACGCTGGTCGTACACGTAAGTTTGTCAACATTTATGATAGGTACCTATATGCAGTTTGGTCGAGCACATCGTTCTCCGAGAAGAAGTTATCCAGACGACTTTCGGCTCTCCGGAAATGCTCGATTTTCGGTGAAATATTTTTTCACGATTATTGTTATTATCACTGGTATCTATACGCTTGTTGCAGAATGTCAGGAAAGAACAGCACGATCAGCTGGTGGTCATGTGTTCAGCAATTAACGAGGCGGGCTCGGACGAATGGCGAGCCACTTTGACAGTGGCGGCGGCGGCGTACGACGAGTCCTTACCGCCGATCATCGAATACGGACCCGCCAACCAGACGCTGCCGTACAGTTCGATTGGTAATCTCGTATGCAAAGCGATCGGCAATCCACAACCCGTGATCACGTGGTACAAGGACGATTCACCTTTGTCGACGGAAATCGCCAGGATCAACATCACCGAATCCGGGACACTCCAAATAATGAGTGAGTATCCTCACATACATAAGGAAACCGTCGCCGTGTATTGTGTCCTTGTCGAAAACTTCTTGATATCTTATAGATAATTTTTTTTTTTTAATATTATTATATTTTAGAGAGCGAAAACTATTTATACAAACTTAAAGCATTTATTTTGTCTACGTAAATCTAAAATAAAAACAATGGTTAAATTCTCGAGAATAAAACGTTCATATTAATAATTTCCAATTTTAGTTTACAAAGTAAATATATTTATTATAAACTTTTAAAGTTTATAATGTAGTTAATGGGGGTAGAGAGTACATTTTTAGGCGGGTGGGGATGGATGAGAGCAATTAAAGAGGTGAAAGCCCTGGTATATAATATGTATATTATTATATTGTATACATTAAACATCGATCGTATTCGTGGCGAAAAAAGGTTACAATTAAAAACCACCGTGTGCTTTTAGATTTACAAAAGAGCGACAATGGTGTTTACACATGCGTAGCGTCTTCTGTCAACGGGAAGGCCACGTGGAGTGCCGAACTCAAAATGGAATCGCCGAAAAATCCTAACGTTGGATTTTTCAGGTCACCGGACACGTCAACTTTCCCCAGTGCTCCGAGCACCCCAGTTGTTGTCAACCACACAGATACGGCAGTCACATTGTCGTGGGGCCGTAGCAGTAAAGTCGGATCGTCACCGCTTCTCGGCTATCAGGTAGGCGACTCGTTTTCGTAGTACACCACTTTCGAGGGGAAAATAAAATCCAAAGGAGGGCAAGACGATAATATTAAATGCCCAGGAATACTATTAATGATTTACGGAGGTATTCCTAGAACATCGTGCACGATGAAGGTATAATTTTCCCGGAACACAATGTTCCACTTGGTCATTATGATACATGATTTTTTGGATGTATCGATGTCCTAGGAATATAAAACACCAAGGGACTACTGCATTTTAAAACGAAAGTGTGTAGAATATACCGGTCATTGGTTCGTTTTTCATAGGCATATTTTAATTTTCCAGGTGGAAATGTTCGCTTGCACCGAGAACGTTGGATGGGTGACGTTGGTCCGGAGACTTCACTCGACTCACTACACCCAGTCGTTCTTAAAACCTGGCCAATCTTACTTGTTTGTGGTGCGCGCCGAAAACTCACACGGCCTCTCCGCGCCTAGCCATCTGTCCAACCGCATCACATTGCCCACAGAATACCGTCAGAGCGTATCGTTTTCCCACGATATGTCCATCGCCAAGTCTACTCTGTTTGGCGGACATATCGTAGACCTCATCGACATCAAGACGGTCAGTTCGACTTCGATAAAACTTTTCTGGGAGGTAAGTCAGCAAAATCACCTTAAACCATACCACAATATTATAATAACCATTAAACGTAATAATTTTAATAATATGATAAAACCATCTTTTCAGATTCTCAACGGAGAGTTTTTGGAAGGTTTTTATCTATACTATCGTAGCAAGAACATGACCGGCCAAAATGCCACGTTCATGAAAACCTTGTCGAACGCCACTGAACTGTCCGGAGCGTACGTGATCAACTCGCTTCATCCGTCGGTCACATATCTGTTTTTCTTGGTGCCGTACTATAGACACATCAAAGGTCGACCGTCTAATTCAAGAACCGCAAAAACTCACGAAGACTGTAAGGGCATTAAGATAACATTTTTTTTTTGCTGGGTTATTTTTATTTCCCGAACGCTTTTCGTCAGTTTTAATAATTTTCGTTGTTGTAGGCCCGTCTGGAGCACCTCAACACGTCGAACCAACAGCATACAACTCCAGTGCGGTTTACTTGAAGTGGAATCCACCACCAGACAACTCGCACAACGGTGTCATCACCAGTTACCAGGTAGTAATTCAAGGCGGTGCCAGTTGGGACGTGCTGAGCAACGTGACGGTCAGTGCCAGTACACCCACTCTGCTTCTGACCAACCTAACGTCTGGTGTGCGGTACAAAGTCATGATCGCTGCCGCGACGAAAATCGGTTTCGGCCCGTACACGGATTCCATCATATTGCCGACGGACTCTATGAATCAAATAAAGTATAATCACTATATTGACTTATAATTTTTTTTTTTTTTATCAAAGACCTTTGTTTTGTACCATATCATAACCGTGAAATTGTTCAATTGTTTAGTCAATTTAACGACGCAGTCATTGATCACGAAGAAATCAAAGAATTCGTTGCTGAACCGTGGTTTATACTGTTGTTGGCTGGAGTGATAACGCTAATGGTCATATTACTAGCCGCCGTGCTTTTCGTCAGATACCGTCAGTTGGGTGCTAAAAAGTCACACTTAGGAGGTAATTATATTTTTGGTATTTTACCATAAGCTGTGCACGCGTTTTAGCAAATCGACTAACCACAAGTCTGTTTAGATTCATTAAACCCTGCCAACAAACTGTCTTATTCCTCTGGTTTCAAAACTACTCTGGACGTGTCTCACCGAGGACAGGTAGCTTCGTTTTTGCAATCAGAACACAGCGTGTCAAACAGTCAACGGTGTCTATTCATCGACGCCAACTCGTGTCATAAGCCAAATTGGTACTTATCATAATAACTATCATAATATTTTTATTCGTACTGTTTTGAACGACGAATAATAATACTGTAAACCTACATATTTTCCAGGATGCATCATGACATCGATAGTAACGAAAAAGATTCTAGCCAACAGCTTTTGCCGGAAATCGCCGACTATGCAGAAGTGAATCCGAATACGATGAGTACATTTTTAAAGGATCGTGAACTGTCGTCGCCGGCCCCTTACGCGACCACCACACTGGTGTCGAACTCGAGTTCTAGAAATGTAAAAAAAAAAAAATTAAATAAATATAATATTGAAATTAGTTGTATTATTATAATATATATGTCACATATTTAAAAAATACGCAATTGTATTGACTAAAAATGTGAAGAACTGATAATTATGTTAATTTTTTTTCTTCAGATGAGACGCAATTCCGATGATACAGCTTACGCTTCAGCCAATATTTATAACCGTAATCAGAACGTCTATTCTGAAAGTGGGTATAGCTGTTGTTCGAGTAATAACGACTGCCAGGGCTGCGCAGGTGTGTATATTTTTTTAGTGTATGAGATAAATTATAAAAATAAATATTATCTATTGATACGTTAAATACAACTTTAAACAAAATATCCTAGAAAATTATAAAGTATATGTGTTAGTAGCTCATAATATTATTATTATATGTAAGACACAATAATGGTCGATACCAGTGTAAAATACTTATAACACGGGTAGAACAAAAAATAAAAAAATATTATTCCTTGTTTCTCTAGAAATGAATTATTAAAAACTTGAAATGAGATTATGAAATTTCTAGTAATAAAAATATACAACTTAATTACTTTTGAAAAACGCCCATAATTATAGCTGCATGTGCGCAACCAGCTATTTATGTATATTATTATAGACATTCGTTGAAGAAATATTAAATTGAAAAATTAATAATAATAATAATAATAATTTAATATCCTCCGATAACGAAAAAAGTATAAAAATAAAATGCGGTTTTGAAAGTTTAAAATCAGACGGTACTCGTGCATAATATATTAAAGTTCTACTTGATTAATATCGACATAGTGTGAAAACGGGGAGATATATTATAACTAACGAGATAATTATAAAACTGTTATGGTATTGTACAATAATATAGTTTTATATGTTATAATATTTTAAGTAATGATTTTCGTATGATAATTTTATTTTATTATTCCATTTTTAGACGATTGTGGGAGCATGCAAGGCGTTCCCGTGTCAGTCGTTCTTAGCGGTTGTGGCCGGAAAACGTTCAGCGAAGTGTCTCACCACAGCAACAAAAGCGGTTCGAGGTTCAATAATTATCCGCCTTATTCGTCTAGGCAGCGAGCCCTGGTAAGCAATCTTGACACACACACACACACACACACGCCACCACTAAAATATTTTCAAAACACATATCCAACGGATGTGTAAATGCCCATGTTAATATTCACACAAACGATGCCTCGTACATTAATAAGTACACAATAATAAAATTATGCTCTCTAAAGCATTGTTATTAGATAACAGATAAAAGAACCGAGGAGATCTTAAAGTTTAAACAAGAGTCTTCATATAAATTAAAATCACATATTGGTACATTCTGAATAAAATAGATATAAGTCTCGGATTCTAGGGCGTATCTTACTCAGTTTTACGTGTGGGGGGATTAAAATCGTTATAAACTGTTTATACTTTTAAAAATAATACTTTCATGGGTATAGGTACTTAAGGTTAAATCAATTTTATCGAGAACATTACTTATTGACCAATTTTGAATTTATTGTGTAGGTACTATGAGATAATATGAGTGAGAAAAATGTCAAATAAACATACTAACCAACATAAATGGCCGCAAAAGCATCAGGCACAATTAATTAAGAATATCATTACACCACCCGACAATTAATTCAATATTTTTTTTTTCAATTTTAACATGTATCAAGTTATTGTTCAATATTTATGTTGATGTTTCTATGTACACGCAGTAAAGCTAATCGTTGAACCTTTCTGGCCCCATCTTTGATCTTAGATTTTTTTATCTACACTAAATAAGCAGGTACAGAAAACTTCGAAATAGGTACAAAATACAATAACTGAATTAAAACTTTATGAAAAGACCACGATAAATGCTATATACATCTATTCCAACTACCATGTTGTTGAAATACTATAACTCCCGAACACTAACATTTCGTAGAAAAAAAATATACCTTATCTATTATCGACCTCGAGATAATGTGGTCCATCCGCGACTGCATATCATTTTTTTTTTTTTTTTTAAATAAAAGTTATGTACAATATAATATATATCCATTGCGAAATGACACAAAAAGACGAATTATAGTATGGCGATCATTAAGTGAATAAAAAAAAATATGTAAAATATCATCCTCCCCTAGACGACAGTATTTTGGACTGCAAACATCATAGAAAAAAAAATTGAAAACCCGTAAAAATGAACTAACAATATAATGTCCGTGCCATATATTACGATATAACAGCGGTTCTCAAACTGTGTTCCGCGGAGCCCTGGGGCTCCTCGAGAGTAATCTAGGGGCTCCGTGGCTCCCATATATTATCTGTATTAATTAAATTCAAATTATTAAATTATTATTATATTTCTTAGTTACATTTTAAATGTTTATACTTGCATTCATTCTTATTTGGACCGTACCAATATGTATTATTTTAAAGTTTAAAACTGTAAACTATTTATAAATCCAGAAATTTTTTTTTATAATCAACATCGTTTTCTACGAATTATTGTTCTCTCGAATATGGATATTTCTGAATTTTGAGGGCTCCGTTTTTTTTTTTTTTGAGGCACATAAGGCACACAAAAAAAGTATGAGAACCGCTGCGATATAACAATATCATGCGCAGACAAATCACTCAGACCGTGCGGACCTTTGGGGGGGGGGGGGGGGATCCTAACCCGACGTTCTCATGACCTCACATCGCACCTCCCCTGGACATTTGGCACAGCCATCCTGATGACCGGTGTCTCGTCGTTGTTTCAGATGCGCACCACGTGTTCGTCCAACGGATATCACTACGTGGACCCGACGATCATCGGGCCGATGACCAACAGCTACGCCAACGGCTACGGCCGAGACTGCTCGCCGCCGGACGTGGTCGGTCAGCAACAGAGGTCGCCGTGCTACACTGAGGCGGGAGCCGTCGTCGGCAGCGCGCAAAACATCTCGTGAACGTTTTTTTCGACCGATTTTCGTTCAAAACAGAAAGCCCCTTGCGGCGGAATCGCGTTTACTCGACATCACGAAAGTATATAATATTATTGTTGTGATGTTTTGGGGTGTATATAAAAAAAAAATATATATATACATACCTTTGCGTCGTAATGTTATGTGTGTTTGTCACGCTCGCCGTCGATCGGTGTCGTCCGGGGGTGATTCCGGCCTCCGTTAAAAATAATATTATATACCTATTATTATTATTATTATGTCGTCGTCGTGACGAAAAGTGTTACTTATAACCTACTCACCTCGTTTCGACCGTTTCTCAAACCGCAACGATAATAGAGTGTACCGTCGTCGTGTCGTACTTTTATTGACACCCACCCCGTCGAACACAAACCCCCCCACCCACCACTGATTCAAGTACGCCCAGAGCCGCGAAACATATCATTACATCATTCGCCCGTTTCCGACCTATACATAATAATACGAGTCTCTACTTTTCGGCGTCTTAACGGTTATAATAAGTGTTTATATTATTATTGATGCTGTCCGCGACGACAACCACGGTTTCCGAACGAAATGATATTTTGTATTACTGTGCTGTACTCGTCGTCGACGGTTTAATATTGTATTACTATATATTATATTATACGATTGCCTGTATTATTATATATTATTATTGTGTAACGTAATGAAAAAATTTCGAGAAAACGTTATTACACTATTTACGCGCGTATACGACGGAATATTGTGCCGGTTAGACTCCCGACGCGTTTATGTAAATCTATAATAGTGCCAATGTATATTTTGTATTTCAACTGTACGTGTAAATTTTAAATAAAACCTTCCATTTGTTATTTATAAAATTTAACTGACCGTGTTTTCATTTTTTGTTTGGACGCTTTGTGGTCGGGAAGCTAAAAAAGATGAAATCAAAATTAACCTCTTCTCTAGGTTCAGATGAGTCAATGAAAATAAGTCCAACGCAATATATTGCGAGTAATTTCTCGACGGGTCGTTTTCAATGATGGACTTTTTAAAATATGTTAAATATTATTATATTTACAAAACCACTATAAAATGTACTGTACCTATAACCATAGTTATATATGTGTTTTTTAAGTGAACGGATGAATGCATGCAACATTATAACTTCACAATGAAAACTTACACTGGAGCCAGTATACGGCTGCACACTACTGCGTGCCTAACAAAAAACATTTTACAGGTACCTACTTAGTAAGCACGCCCGGTAATTGTTTCACATTTCAGGGACGCTATATCATTATTATTAATGCATTTCCTAGCTATTTCATTATTATAAATCGACATTAATAATTACAAAATGCCATTGTATTTTTTGAAATCAATTTTTTTAATTTTATATTTGATCAACACATATTTAATTATTTATTAATATTGTAAAAAAATATATGTATAGCACATACACTGAAGACTAAATAAGTCTATAATCTCATATTCTTAGGCCCGTAATATAAATTGCAATAGTTAGTTTATTAACTAATGATCAATAAAAGGTGTCACATCATTGGCATCAAAAGTAGCAGGTCAATGTTTAAAAAAATCAACTAAAATTAAATATGTAAAAAAATGGGGAAGGAAACACGAGAGCCCTCTAGCAATTGCGTTTTAAGAATCAAAAATAAAAAAAAATTTACCTAAGGGCCACATTCTAAACTACTAAATACTACAATCTACAATCTCAAAAAACTTAAGCCGAAAATGCTATTCAAAATTATCAATCTATGAAACAATGATTATTTAGAGGGCACCAGCTGGTTATCAAAATTTAAAAAAAGTACCTATATCAAATGATAACTAGTTTTAAACGAAAGAAAAAATTGGGAACGGAAACATGGGAGTCCGAAGTCAAATAAAGAGGCGCCTTACATCATCTACCTATGTTTTGAATTATACTTTACAAAAAATCGATTGCATTTTATGGAATAAACTGTAAAAACGATTTATTTTCACCAAGAACTGTGTAGATAATTAGTAGACGGTAGTCGTTACTATTTCCTAATAAACGGCCAGGTTATAAATTATATTGATACTTAGGAATCTAGCTATCGTTTGATAAAATACGCCTGTGTTTACTGTTTACTGTGTTCATTTTCGTGACTGCGGTCGCTTACCGCTTAATAATTAATGTCATTTAAATTTGTATCGATATTTGAAAAATAAATGAATATGCCAAAAGAGAATAGATTTTTAAGTAGTCTTTTACAAATGTTCGTGGTTGAATTTGGAGGAAATGTTTTCAGTATTGATTCTAAGGTATTGTTTTGCAAATATTGTGAAACGACAACGGATTCGGAAAAAAGATCCAATGTATAGGTGACTAATTAAAAAATAATTATTCATTTTTTAGGTTTATTAAAATATATAAATACCTACATGTTTACTTTAAAAATAACTGCATATTGTACTGCATAATATTGCATATTTAAGCTTTTTTTAGTGCATATGTATGCAAGCATAGGAGGTACTAGACCTTCTTGGCAGGGGGGGGGGGGGTCAGAAAATATTTTAGCTATTTACATAACTAAATTAGTCCAGATTTTTAGGCTAATACATAATACCTACTATTTGAAAAAGAAACACGAATTTTATTCATAACAATTGTTATATCTAAATTGTATTTAAAAAAATAACATAAATTTATTTATTTAACTTATAACTCCGTGCGTCCTCGATCATCTGAATCATTATGTCACCTAAATTATTTAAACAATTAATTTGGTTAGGAAAAAAAGCCCAGAAAAAAAAATTAAATATAAATGTGAACACATGTCCCTATACTTTACTTTTAATAGTAATTAATAATTCATAAATAAAATTAGTATATTCAATATAGGCAATTTTATATGCGAAGACTCAATTAATAAGAAACTTTTTTTTTACCTATTTATTCAATGAAAAATTTCAAACATATATCAATTTATGTCTGAATATGACTTATGCTTAATATTAATGACATCATATAAAAAACAACTTCTAATAGAAAAATAAATTTAAATATAAATTTAAACTCATCTATACATAATATACAGTATTAAGTTATGAATCAAAAATCATCAGGGGTATTGGGTATAAGTATTAGGTACAATGTACATGAACACTACATTTATACAAAAATTACACATGATAACAATTTATGACGCATTATTTTCATTATAATATATTATATTTTGCTATAGGTACCAACATGCCACACGGTAATTACTAATTAGGAGTGTGATACATGAGTTAGGTACGTGTGTTCACATTTATATTAAATTTTTTTTCTGGGCTATTTTTCATGGTCTTATTTTTCGCGATTCATTATGTATGCTTGTGAGCCCATGTATTACAGCAACAAATTTCGTAATGAAAATACAGTAAAAAATATTTGTTCAGAGTTAGGAAACCGAGATTCAAGGAACTATATATTAATGCAGGTACAGTTCTTTTAAAAATTTATACATTATCAACACTCACGTTGTATATTTTCGACTGTAAAATAAAAATACTTTTACTAAACAAGATATTGTTTCTTTTTTTCGTACTAAGAGTGGAAGTATTTGTATTTGTATTTATTTTAACAAAAAAATGGGCTTCAATGAATATATGAAATATTCATTCAGCTTCATGAGCTGGTCAGCTCGTCTGAAGACGTGTGATGAAAATCATCAAATTTTAAAATTCATAATTAATATACTTGCAAGTACCCACGGATAATATTTGGATAATATTATAATGTTTGGTGTCGTTGAAAGAGATACGGATCGTTGTTTTCTAGTGTACGTAGAAAAACATGACAAAGACACATGATTGGCGATTATAATTGATAAGGGATTGAATATTGAATTGAGCCTGGTATACTAATCATATACGTGCAAAAACTTAGAAAATAAGTAGGATAGGTCAGTGTTGTTTTACCAATGTATTAAGCGCTGAAAACCACACAATTAGTAAAAAAGAATATATGTAACGGAAAAACAGTATTTTTTGAAGTTTTTCACGGATAACTTCAAAACGAAGTTTGTCTGACATTTATTTTCATCCTTATAAAACATGCAAAAATACACATTATAAAAAATAAATCGATAGGTTGCTAAACTAGAATTGTTCCATTAAGATTATATATATTATGATAATTATTAATTATAGACATATCTAATCATACATATAAATATTCTTTATAGGTCTATTACAATAAATAATAATATAATATATTTTGTGTACATCTTTATTCGCTACGAGCTACATGGGATTCCACAGTTAGTTATTTTTTTGGGAATTGCTTAAAATCTGCCTGAATTATGCCTTTTGTAGACAAGTGCTCATGAAAAATTGTATGGGAATATCTAAAAGTAGATTTAGTGTCATTTAACTGTTCCACGAAAAATGGGGAAAAACTCTAGGAAAAGTCTTAAATTAAAGGTCTAGAGTTTGTGGAGACCACTTTCAGCCACAAGACATTATAAATACTTGAGTATAAGGAGAAGGAAATAGCAAGTACACCGTGAGTTAACTGATTTTTATTCATATAAACTTAATAAATAACGAGTTACTTTTAATCAAATCCAATTTTGTTCATTTATAAATAATTCAACTATAAATATAATAAATGTGTAGATTCACATCTCGTAGTCCAAATTCTTAATAAAAAAATGTTTCTTGAACAACAAATAACTTTATTTCCTTCAACATTAAATAAAAACATATCCATTGAAAACATTCAAGAAATAATTCATATCTTTGATTCAGTGAATTTTTGTTATGGAGCAGTTCTAGCAAGTAAATATCCAAATATTAAAGCTTCATTTGGCCATCAATATTAATATGAAAATTGGAAGCATTCAAAATGTTTAAAAATCATTTCAGATAATGGGAAAGTAATAGCTTTAAAAGTAGAAATTAATATAAATGTACTATAAAATCATTGATTTCACTCAACATTTAATCATAATAAATACATCATACAAATTACGTTATGCTGATATATTTTTAAATAATTATTGTTAACAGTTCTAGTTGTTTATGGTGTAAAAATTGAAGTTTTCAATTAGAAAAAAACAAAATCAAATAACCAAAAAAAAAAACAATAAAAGTTTATTTTTCACCACTAAAAAAGTCAGCTTTACAAAAATTAAAAAAAAAACAAGAAAAAAAATGTGACAGCAAATCAGCAGAGCAAAAAAAAATCTCACAATTACAGTTGGAAATAAATGAAGTACAAAATAAAATTGATGACATTTTGGAAATTGACTTATCAAGATTAATCGAAGATTCTAAAATTCCAAAATGTCAATTGACTTTATTGTATGAAATTTTTGCAGCAGCTAGGTATAGAAATAATAAAAGTAGACGTTATTCCGAAAGTTGGATTATTCTTTGTCTTCTATTCCAGGTATGGAGGGTACAAAACACTTTCCTTAATAACTGTTGGTTTAAAAAAGAATTTATATAAAATTTAAAGTTTGTAATTTTGTATAGATCTCCGTCAGGTTATAATTTTTTAAGAAGACAAAACTTGTTACCGTTACCTTGTGTTAAAACCATTCGCAAACATTTATTGGCAGTTAAGAATGAATTTGACTTGGGATTTTTTAAACTGTTAAAAAAATGTTTGGAGAAAAATCCCAACAACAAAAGAAAGGAGTTTTACTTTTGGACAAAATTTTCTTGAGGACAAGTATTGATGTGACAACTCGAACACTGACATATAGTGGTTTGGAAAATTTTGGAGGAGATATTGAAAGTAAAATTGAAAGTTCAGAATCAGAGGATCATACTTTAGTATTTATGTTCCAGAGTTTAGCAGACAATGTGACACAACCTATATCTGTCTTTGCCTTGAAAGGT